ACTCAGAGTCAACCTACTCAGAGTGGATTGAACTAACTCTGTTCAGCTGTTCTGAAACCGAAAACTCAAGAGTTTCCCCATCTCAGAGTAAGTAAACTCAGAGTTCAAGTTTTAACTCAGAATTTGTTGAACCTCCTTTCTGGGGCCCGTTTCAATAAGGAGGTTCAACCAACTCGGAGTTAAAACTTACTTAATAGAAACTTACTTACTTAGAAAAAATACTTAGTAAGAAAAGCATTCTTGCAGCGTGCATGAATGAATGAAGTATTTAAAGGGGTCATATGATGCGATTTCAATTTTTCCTTTCTCTTTGGAGTGTTACAAGCTCTTGGTGCATAAAGAAGATCTGTAAAGTTGCAAAGACTAAAGTCTCAAATCCAAAGAGATATTCTTTATAAAAGTTGAGAGTCAGCCACGCCTCCCTAAAATGGCTCGTTCTAACACGCCCCCACATGTCTACGTCACGATGTGGGAAGATTTGCATAACGCCGCCCAAATGTTCACGCAAAGAAAGAAGGCGTAACTTTTATTCTCGCTGTAGTATTGTTGTTGCCATGTGTTTCGTTGTGAAAGCTAAACTACTTTGTTTGGCCTTCCAAAAGAGGAGGATATCCGCTTCGTCATGCCTGGAGCTGATCCCTGCTGGTCGCTGAAGGAAAACATCAACTTCGCGCTGTGGATCGCCGGATCGGCTTTCACCGTGGACATATGACCCCTTTAAAATCGCTTGCGCTTTAAAAAGGCGGAGGAGAGGAGACCGAAAAGAAACTGGGTTTACCGAAGAAAACCTGCTCCTGACCAGGGGCCTGTACCATGATGGTGGCTGAACAAACTCGGGGTTACAGGATTAGTTTTGAGTTGACAAAACCAAACCAGTCCAATCCGGCTTTGTTGGTACCATGAAGCTGATCATCCATTTTCTCGGTCAAGTCAGGCTTGATCCTGAGTTAATGGAGCACGTGCACATGAAAGTGTGACATCAGTAATGAACAACCAATCACATGCCTTGAAACTGTGATTCACTTCTCGTGAGAGAGTCAGTGCGATTCACTACCAAAGATTAAAATATTGAACAATATGAAGAATTTAAACACATTTACAAGATACAAGATGATATCCATGAAAGAGGAAAACTTAAAGAAACATCTTGCCTTATAAGTGCAAGTAAAAGTTGAAAGTTGTATTCATAGAGTTGATCATATTTATAGGTATAAAAACACTTAAAAATCTAAACTCATATGTAGTCATGTTTAAAGCTATTGATTCTAAAACATATTTATATTGCATATTATCTATATGTTTATATTAATTTAAAATAAAAGCTTAAT